GGAAAATATATAAGTTTTCAGACATTCAGACAAGTAGCATAAGACTGCAATCCCTAAGAGAAGAACTTATGAAGTGACGCCAGGATCACTCAGATCTCAGACAAAGGCCAATTTCCTTAGTGCAGGGAGAAAGAGATGAAATGAGGAGGAAGATCAGAGATGGGTCATCTAAAGTGGCTGAAATCTGCCAGAGCACAAGACAGGGAAGTGCTATGGAGAGGTGGAGGTCAAAAGCCCACATGGGGGATCCCTCAAAAGTCCCTTGCTGTACACACACAGGCAAGAGTACTAAAGCTTCCCAGAGAGCAGTTACTACTGCACAGGATAACCAGAAAGGAGAGGCCTAGTTAACATTCCAGACACCAGCTAAGACATCAGAAACATTATTACTCTTAGGAGCTAGTACAATGTCCTAGAGCATGGTCTACTACAGACCTGCCCAGAGAAAGTCCAAAAAACAAATTCTAACACAATCCATAGGAAAGGTCAAATTTAAAGGCTGAATTCTACTCAGAGTTGCTGGGGAAATGAATATGCACTTTTCATAGATCCAGCTTAGCAAAGTGTAATATCACACCTACTCAAATTAAAGAAAACAAAGTTGTCTACTAAAATAAAAACCAACAGTCTTCAGAGTAAGATAATAGAATCCAGCATCTCTACAACACAGGATCCTCAATGTCCAGTTCAATATGAAAAGCTTATACATATGCAAAGAATCTGGAAAATGGTCAAGAATAAAGCAATATAAAATGACCCAGTGCTGATTTTAGCAGACAGAAACATTATAGAATTAAATAAAAATACAGTCAGAATGAGCAGACTGGGAGTCTAATCAGAGTAATAAAAATTATAAAAAGTAAAAAATTCAAACTCTAGAAATAAAAAATCAATAACTGAAATAAAAAATCAGTTGGATGAACTTGGCAACAGAATGAAGGCTAAAAGAAAAAGTTAGTGAAGTTTTATATATAAATAGAACTAATCTAATCCGTGTATCAAAGGGAGAAAAGAATGAAAGAAAATGAAACAGAGCTTCCGAGTGCTATGAAACATCAAAATTCTGATACATGCATTAACTAGCATCAAGAGGAAGTCTATGCGGAGAAGGTGGTTTTTAAAAAAAATTATCACCCAGGAGACATTAAGGCAAGTGGTCGGGTCCCCTCAGGGCAAACCCCCTTCTAAGACTAAGACTCAATGTGAATGCACGCTCTGATTGGTGACTACGTGCATCACCGATAAGAGGAAGTGAGGGAAAAACAGCAATGAAGCAGCAAACTAAGCTCTACCATGTGCTCAGTAGACTCCTGTGAACCTGGGTGGAGACCTGGTTGGCCAGCAGTGTGGCAAGACCTGGGGACTCCTGGGCCCAGAGACAGTGACATAGGCACAGAGGACTAGAGTGGAGAGTGAAGCATACAGCTGATAAGAAGAGAGGGCACATGCATAAGAATATCCACACTTGCAGATAATACCCACTTGACCCGGCTTCAATGACTGGATGATCAGAACTCAACTAGAAGAAGAAAGAAGGAAAAAAGAGTAATCTAATACAATTTGATAAACTTGACCTACATCTATGGATGCAGTATCTTAAAATAAGGAACAAATCTTTATAGCGAGGATCATTCCCACCCCCTCAATATACAGGGTAGACAGGGATGGGCAACTTGGACATTGGCTACTCAAAATGGGGGGCTACAAAGGCAAGCAGTGACGGGCTTACAAGCTTTGAAGATGGAGCCTAGATCTAGAGGGTGCCAAAAAGTAAAAAATAAAAATTAAAGAAATAATAATCAAAGCTTTTCTAACTATCATGAAAAAGAACAATTTATGAATTTCTAGGAATCCAAAAAATAATAAAAAGAAAAACCATACCTAGGTACACTGTAGACTAATTACTGAAAGCTGAAGATTTAAAAAAAATGTTAGTAGCAGCCAAAGAAAAGAGATCTAGACAAAGACACAAAGATACAAATATAATTAATGTGAGAAAAATGCAGACACCTCTTGAAATAAACTAGAGGAGAATTAGCACTTTGTAAAAGAGATTTAATTTCTAATTCAATTTTTCTAGCCATACCATTGGGGTAATTACAGACTTTAGAAAAATCTATCAAGATTACCCCTTGGACATCCCCAAAAATAGTTGCCATAACCTTCTGAGCTGACCTCTCTACCTTGAATTTAACTAGCCTGGCAGATTCCCTTGAAAGCCACTGTTTTGAGAGGACCATGCTCTCTGACTCATATTGGTAAATCCAAGAGTTGTCCCTGGTTACGACAGGTTCTATAAAATCATCTGCATTAGCTACAATCTTGCTTAAAAGACAGATGGAAAGATCAGCTCCTTGAACTAGCAGATCTTCATGCTGCACTGGCAGAAAACTTGCAGAGACCAAGACGGTCACTTAAAACTGAAAATGCCAAACCACATGAGAACCCAGCATCAATAACCATCTCATCAACGGTGATCCTACAATTTCTGGACTCAGCCAGTTTCTTCATTCATCAAGCTCACAATCTTCTCCCTTGTGGCTCATCTTTGGAATCATCCCAGTCTTTATGTTCTCTCTTTATAGAAAACCCTATATGATGGTCCTTATGAGTCAGAATTAATTGGACAGCAGTGAGTTTGGTTTTTAAGTGGTTTGGGTAATACTGACATTTTCACAATGTTAAGTTTTCCATTCTATGAATATAGAATGTTTTCCCATTTATGTAGCTCTCGTTTGGTTTCTTGACGTATTGTTTTAAATTTTCCTTCTTTAAGTCCTGGTGTGGCGCTGCAGGATAATGCACTAGACAGCAAGGTCAGCTTGAACAACAAGGATGGTGGTTCAAACTCACCAGTTGCTCCTCAGAATCCTTATACAGGGTCACAATGAGTCATAACCAACTCAACAGCGCTTAACAGCAAGCCTTTTATGTGGGGCTGTAGGGAAAACACTGGACCACAAGGTTGGTTTAAACCACAATGTCAGCAGTTAAAAACTCACCAGCCACTCCTCAGAAACCCTATACAGGATAACTATGAGAGGGAACTACTGGATGGCTCACCAACAACAAGCCTTTTCCATCTTGCTATGTTTAGTCCTCAGTATTTCATCTTTCAAGGGGAGGTTGGAAATGGTATGGTTTCCTTGCTTTCCTTTTGAGAGCTCTCCTTCCCTATGCAGATTTTTGAAGTTGATCTTGTAACCTTCCAATTTGCTGAATCCTTTTATTCTGTGACTTTCCTGTGGAATCTCTGGGCTTTCCTATGTATCATTTCATGTCATCTATGAATAGAGACAGTTCTCCTCCCTTTATCAATTTGGATGTCCTATATTTCCCTTTCTTGCATTATTGCTCAGGTGGGGGACCTCAGTCAATTATTGAATAAGAGTGGTGATAAGAGGTATGCCCTATACAATTTTAGCAGCCTCACTGGCCTTCCTTATCCCTATCCAATGGAACCAAATCAAAACCCAAACCAGTTACCATCAGTCAATTCCAACTCATGGTGAAGCCACATGTGTCAGAGTAAACTGTGCTCCATAAAGTTTTCAAGGCTGTAGCCTTTCAGAAGTCTTTCTTCTGAAGAAAGACCAGTTCTTTCTTCCAAGGCTTCTCTGGGTGGGTTTGAACTGCCAGCCTTTGGGTAATTAGTTGAATGATCAATCATGTGTGTCACCCAGTTTAGATAACCAAAAATTTCTCCAGATACTGCCAAATATCCTCTAGAAAAATAAAATTGCTCCTGTTGAGAACCACTGCCAAACAAAACAAAAAAAATATTTTTGCTTAATTTATTTGTTTATTTTTAAATTGGGTGCTTACAACTTACAGTGTAAGCAAAAATGTCTTCCAAATAAAATACAGGCATACCGCGGTTTATTCACAGACCCACTTCCACTGAGTCAGTTCTGACTAATAGTGACCCTGTGGGTACAACTGCTCCTCAGGGTACCTGAGACTGTAAGTCTTTACAGGAAAGACAGTCTCATCTTTCTCCCTCGGAGCAGCTGGTGGGTTTTAACTTTGCAATTAGCAGTTCACTTTATTGCGCTTTGCAGATAGTGGGTTTTTTAACTTTTTATTGTGAATTGAGTGAAGGTTTACAGACAAGATCGTCAGTTTTATATCAATGATTGCAATCCCCTCTGTGAAACAACAGTTATCATGATTCCTATTTCCCTTCCACCCACTTTGCCATCTCTTTTCACCACTGTCTTTAGGTACATGTTTGCCCCTTTCATTTTGAATGACTGACCGATCCATCGTTCAGAGTGAGCATATTTACTAGTGATGTTGTTTCTCACCCCACCCCAACCCCACATATACCTATCTACCGTTTGGCTGAAAGTTGTTCCCCCTATATACCTATCTACTGCTTGGATGAAAGAGGCTGTTCCTTTACAGATCTGAATACAATGAAGGTTTGTGGTAACCCTGAAAGTCTTATCAATGCCATTTTTTTTTTTTTCAAAAGTATGTGCTCATTTCATGCCTCTGTCATTCTCTGATTAGCTGGTCTTGATTTTTGCTATAAAATAAAGCAGAGTTTCTATTTTTCTGGGAATGCTCACTCATCATCCACTCACCTATGCATAACAGATGCAAATTAACTAAAAAAAAAAAGTGCTGGAAGCAGCGCTTTTATTAAAACAAATAGCAACCTGTTTATATGTCATCTGGAAGGAGAAAATGACACACCTAATTGATCTAGAACATACCGAGGAAATTTGAAATAAAAGGATAGGTTAGACTTTATGCTCTTCATAAGAAAATTCAGTCAATAGGGGCAAAAAAAGTATCAGTTCTTTGTATCAGTTAGCTGTAGCTAAACATCTTTTTCACACAGCTTCAAAATGTTTATCAATGTTAAAAGTCACCTGTTTCCAAAATGAGAGTACTTAACGAGGAATAATACTATAAAATTTGCAGGTTTAGACATTCCATAAGGTAGAGACGAATGCTCTAAGTCCTATGCGTGCCCATTTCCTTTGACTCACCTATATGATAAAGTCCAATCCAATCACTGGGGTCCACCTCCTCCTTAATGTCCCAGAAGATGATGAGGTTCTGGGCTTGCCCCAGTGTGTACTCATACATGCTAGCAGTCAAGCTGGAGCGGCTCTCTGAAGTCACTAGATCTGTGTCGCTGTTGGCTCGCTGGAGGGTCATGTTCTCTGGCAGGGAGCTCTGGGCAGCAAGGCTCTGCAGATTCTCAGGACTCAGTGTATAACGCATCTGGGGGTTTCTACGCCGCACAAAAAGCAAATGCTCCCGGGCTGAGCTAGCCATCCCGTCTGACTCTCTTCAATTGGATTCCTATAAAGCTGCAAGAGACAAACAAGCATAAAGCATGAGCGCTACAACTTAAGAAGTCGGGTTTACGCTTCCCAGACATAAAGCTTTGAGGACTGTTTATTAAAGCTTGACCCAGCAGTAATCTTATGCTGTCAAAATAAAACCTATTATTCTGCTGTCAACAGATGATGTCAGAAACAATTTCTATAGGCTGAGGTCAAAGGAGGGCAAAGGCTATCACACACCTGTGACCACTGATTTCAGCACAGTTCCCTCCTAGCAACTGGGGAAAGAGCTTTTCTACCGCCCCCTTTAGGTCTATCCTTGCGCAAATACCCCACCTTCAGAAGTGGCATCTTGCTCCTTCCCAGCCCCACCCAAATGCTTATTTACTGTTGCAAATAAATTTTTAAATAGCAAGAAGGAAACACGTCACATACAAACTATATTTGGAGTTGTGGTGTGATACTGTAAGATAGCACTAGACTGCTTGCTAATCTCAAGGTTGGCAGTTCAAACCTACCAGTTGCTCCTTGGAAACCTGATAGAGGGCTGCTATGAGTCAGAACCAACTCAACAGCTGTGGAGTCACTGGGTGGTGCAAATGATCAACTACTAACCAAAAGGTCTACCCAGGGATATCTCGGAAGAAAAGGACTGGTGATTTGTTTCTGAAAATTAAGCTACTGAAGAGCCTAGAGAAGATCCTACTTAAGATTCTAGAGGGTACAGTTCTACTCTGACACACATGGGGTTGCCATGAGTCAGAGTTGACTCAACAGCAACTAGTTTGGGTTTTGTTGGGTTTTTTTCTTTTTTAGTATATACAGTGGAAATATATCATCCCATACAATTTCACTTGCTTAATTGCCTTAGATAAGAATATAACTCACAAAATCTTTGTCAGGAGGCTGTTGAAATGTCACCTTGTCAATTCAGGCGGCAATCAAGTTTAAAACAGCACTTCCCTGGCATTCTCACTGCCTCCTTTCCTGCTTTACTTTTCATTATAACAAATATTATAATCTCATCTACCATATATTTTATCTATTTATTTGATTACTGTCTGTGTTTCCCGTCCCCCCTCCCCCAACAACAAAGTAAGCTTCCCAGTGGCAGGATTTTTCACGTGTTTTGTTTGCTACTTTATCCCCAGCGTCTAAAAAAGTATCTGGAACACAGTATATGTCAATTTTTTTTAATCATGAAATGAATCGATAGATAAACAGTAAACATTTTTCTCCTTGACACTACTTTTATTTCAGCACTTTTTTCTGGGCCCTGACCCTCACCACTCTGATTTTCTGATTGATCCACTCTATTCCTACCATCTAGACTCCTGATGAGCTAACCTTTGACCTCCACTTGGCTTTAATCTAGAGATACAGGGCCTTTCCTGTTGGAATGTAGTCTAGCCCCAAAATTCAAGTTATTTCCTCCACTGCCAGACTTTCTCATGAACTCTTTACAAGACCTGCATACTTCAATCAAGCACATTCAAGGTTCTGTCTGGCAGATCCTACTGGCTTTGTACAGAATGAATCTCATTTTCCTATATGCTGCTCCTTAGAAACCCTACACGGGGGTCGCTATGGGCCGGAATTGACTTGACGGCACTTAACAACAACAACACCGTTGATGTTAACAACAGCCCTGCCCAATCCATTTCACAAGCACATTGAGTGAAGGGAACATTCTGCCATAGCTAGAGATGGTAGCACTTGCAAATATATTTCTTCAAGTAATTTCTTCCATACATTTTATTTCAAATTTTTAGCACTATCCCATGAATTAAAATAGCTCATATTAATGCTCAAATACATGTGAAAAGGACAGAAATAAAAATGAACATACAAGCTGATTTATCCAGTTCAATGATCTTAGGTTCCATATCCCTCTTAATAAACACAGTACTTCTTTTCCTTATCTGGAATATGGTAGCTCTGATATCACAGTATAACCTGCAACTGTTAAACAACCTCAAATGCCTCCCGTGAATCCTAAAATACAAGATAACTTCTAATCTGCATCATGAAATTCGCATTTTAGTAGATTTTGATAGCTAATTCATTCTTTATATGCCCAGAATTAGCTACACACCACATTGACTTCAGCTGACTTTTTAAAGCTGCATATACTTTAAATGTCAGCCTCTCTCAACATGTTTGTCCATTACATGGTGGCAGTGTTTACCTGTGCTTTACTGACTATGCAAAAACATTCAACAAACTATGGCTAACACTGTGAAGAATGGGAATTTCAGAAATGCTGGACTTCTACATAGGCCAAGAGGCAGTTGTTCAAACAGAACAAGGGGATAATGTGTGGCTGAAAATCAGGAAAGATGTGCGTCAGGGTTGCATCTTTTCATGAAGTTGTTCAACCTTTATGCTGAGTAAATAATCTGAGAAGCTGGACTATGTCAAGAAGAACACCACACCAGGACTGAGAACAGACTCATTAACAGCTGTGACACGCAGATGACACAACTGTGCTTGCTAAAAGAGGATTTGAAGCACTTACTGGTGCAGATTAAATACTATAGCCTTCAATATGGATTACAGCTGGACATAAAGAAAACAAAACTCCTAACAATTGTATCAATAAATTGTTGTTGTTGTTGTTGTTGTGTGCCGTGGCGTTGGTTCCGACTCATAGCGACCCTGTACAGGGTTTCCGAGACTGTAAATCTTTACGGGAGCAGAAAGCCTCATCTTTTTCCCATGGAACAGCTGGTAGTTTCGAACTTCTGACCTTAAGGTTTGCAGTCCAATTTGTAACCACTACGCTACCAGAGCTCCTTAACAACATTATAAATAAAAAGATTTAAGCTGTCAAGGATTTCCTTTACTTGAACCTACAATCAATGCTCATGGAAGCAGTCAGTAATCAAGAAATAAAATTACTTACTGCATTGGACAAATTTGCAGCAAAAGCCCTCTTTAATTTAAGCAAAGATGTCACTTTGAAGAGTAAGGTGTGCCTGACCCAAGTCATGGTATTTTCAATTTCCCCATAAGCATGTGAAAGCTGGGCAATGAATGAATAAGGAAGACCAAAGAGGAACTGATGCCTTTGAATTATGGTGTTGATGAAGAATACTGAAAATATCATGTACTTCCAGGAAAGCAAACAAATCTGTCTTGGAAGAAATACAGCCAGGATGCTCTTTACGAGCTAGGATGGCAAGACTTCATCTCACATACTCTGCACATGTCATCAGGAGGGATCAATCGCTGGAGAAGTACATCATGTTTGGTAGAGGGTCAGGAAGAAAGAAAAAGACCCTCAGCAAGATGGCATGACACAATAGCTATAACAATGGACTCAGTCACGGCAATGACTGTGAGGCTGGCAAAGGACCAGGCATTGTTGTACATAAGGTCATTGTAAGTTGGAACTTACTCAACGGCATTTAAAAACTATAATTCACCTCCTATGATTTATATAACTATTAGAAAAGTTGCAGGTAAAAGTTCTTAAAATAAAAAGAAGCTATTATGTTTTTGGTAAATGCTATGATATATACAATTTTACAGCAACCACAATAATAACCAAAAAATATATGTGTTCAT